AAAAAAAAAAAAAAAAAAAAAAAAAAAAAAAAAAAAAAAAAAATCTGAGATTCTTTAGAGATCGAAAAGTAATTTCGAAAAGAAGATATAAATTTGATTACAATATGATAACTTCGTGATTTAAAATGGAGAAAAAGAATTGCAAATATGATCATCTTATACAAGCAACTTTGATCACCTGTAGAACATATTGTTTCTTTTAATATTCCCATATGAAATCTGGCTGGAAAATGCATACGCTTGGTGATATGATACTCGCTGTCGCAACTTAAATGTTATTTTTTGTTTCCAAAATGTTGTCTACTTCAGTAGTTTGTGTCGTTAAATGGAGCTATTTTAGAACTATTGGGTGACGAAGATACTGCTAAGTGCTAATGATTGGCAATTTGGCAATCTATGTCTCTCAAAAGAGCATGTGAATGGTTCTTTGGAATACTTGCTCTGGGATAAATGCAAGATTTATTAGTGTATTCTTTCTCTCACAGTTGTTATTATTATTATTATTTTTTTTTTTTTTGAAGAAAATTGTTAATTCCTTCCTCATTTTTGAGATTTTTTGTGAATGTTTATTTTTATTTAAAAGAATAATGACAATGTGTTAGAAAGATGTAAGAAACCCGTTAATTCTTCATATACATAAGGCATGTTATGGTGCTTCAATTAATACTTGGGTGACATCAAAATTTTACATTAATCTGGCCTGACTCAATTTGTGCCTAAATCATACGCTTGTCAGATAAAGATTAGTTGGCAAACAGTGAATATGAAGTATCTGTGCATAGTATCATCAAATAATATGGAGCGCCTGTATATAAATGATGTTTCACCACCTTCATAAGTCAATAATGTGCTGCTTGTCTTACGGGTATGGTTTGTTTTATCTGATGATGACAACAGATGGTGCTGGTGGTAAAGGTACCTGGGGAAAACTACTTGATACTGAGGTTGAATCTTTTCTAGATCGGAATGATCCCAACTATGACAGTGGTGAGGTAAATCATATGGCGAGTCATAATTTTCTCTTCTGTTTCACTTTTGAACTTGTTGAATTTTGGTGCAGGGAAACTGTATAATTGTTAATTATGTATAGAATTTTATTCACATTGTTATTTTGTTCTTATTGATCCCACCAGGAGCCATATGAGCTTCTTGGAACAACTGTCTCTGATCCACTAGATGAATACAAGAAAGCTGTGGTATCCATCATAGAGGAATACTTCAGCACTGGTGATGTAGAAGTTGCTGCTGCTTGTCTTAAGGAACTAGGATCAAGTCAGTATAATCCTTATTTTGTTAAACGCCTTGTGTCCATGGCCATGGACCGACACGACAAAGAGAAGGAGATGGCTTCCGTTCTGCTCTCAGCTCTTTATGCCGTTGTTATCAACTCAACCCAGATTCGTCAGGGGTTTTTCATGCTTCTTGAATCTGCTGATGACCTGGCAGTGGACATATTGGATGCTGTCGACATCCTTGCTTTATTCATTTCTCGAGCAGTGGTTGACGATATTCTACCCCCGTCTTTCATCCCCAGGGCCCGAAAAATGCTTCCAGAGACCTCCAAGGGATTCGAGGTTTTGCTAACTGCTGAGAAAAGCTATCTCTCGGCACCACATCATGCAGAACTTGTGGAGAGGCGATGGGGAGGTAGCACACATCTAACTGTTGATGAAGTGAAGAAAAAGATTGCTGAGCTTTTAAGGGAATATGTTAAGTGTGGAGATATTTCTGAAGCCTGTAGGTGTATTAGACAGTTGGGTGTTCCATTTTTTCATCACGAAGTTGTGAAAAGAGCATTAGTTCTAGCAATGGAGATAAGTACAGCAGACCTGCTCATTCGAAAGCTACTAAAGGAGGCAGCAGATGAGGGTCTGATAAGTTCAAGTCAAATGGTGAAAGGTTTTACTCGATTAAGCGAGAGCCTCGATGATCTTGCCCTTGATATTCCTTCTGCAAAGACCTTGTTCCAAACCCTTGTTCCCCAGGCAATATCTGAGGGATGGCTTGATGCATCTTACTTAACACCTTTGGGCGAGAATGGAGAGAAACCTGAAAAAAATGATGAGAAATTATTCCAGTACAAGGAAGAGGTTGTTATCATTATTCACGAATACTTCCTCTCTGACGATATTCCTGAATTAATTCGAAGTTTGGAAGATCTTGGGGCACCGGAGTATAATCCAATTTTTCTCAAGAAGCTGATCAGCCTAGCCATGGACAGGAAAAATAGAGAGAAGGAGATGGCATCAGTTTTGCTTTCTGCACTTCACATTGAGATCTTCTCGACTGAAGACATGGTCAATGGCTTTGTTATGCTTTTGGAATCTGCGGAAGATACTGCACTCGACATTTTAGATGCCTCAAATGAACTAGCCTTTTTCCTGGCAAGGGCTGTTATAGATGACGTCCTTGTTCCCTTGAATTTGGAAGAGATTGCCAGTAAGTTGCCACAAAATTGTAGCGGAAGTGAAACTGTGCATATGGCTCAATCACTTATAGCCGCACGTCATGCCGGGGAAAGGATCCTGAGGTGCTGGGGTGGTGGTACAGGCTGGGCTGTCGAGGATGCAAAGGACAAGATTCAGAAGCTGCTAGAAGAGTATGAAAGTGGTGGCGTCGTCGGTGAAGCTTGCCAGTGCATTCGTGATCTGGGCATGCCTTTCTTCAATCACGAGGTGGTGAAGAAAGCTTTGGTCATGGCAATGGAGAAGAAAAACGACAGGATGCTGGATTTGCTCCAAGAATGCTTTGGCGAGGGACTCATAACTATCAATCAGATGACCAAAGGTTTCAACAGGATCAAGGATGGGCTCGATGATCTGGCTCTTGACATACCAAATGCCCGGGATAAGTTCGAATTTTACATGAACCTTGCCCGTGAAAGAGGCTGGCTGTTATCGGCATTTGGTTCGTCTGTCCCAGATGTTACCCCAAGTGTTGCTGCGTGTTCTTGAGAAGAAATGTAGTTTATCTCTACGTCGTTACTTGTGCGCTTTTTATACAATGGATGGTTTTCTTTTGATCCCTTTGGGTAGGTTCTTTTACTCACTGTGTTGATTTAAAGGGTTTCTGTTGTAGGAAAGTAGGTCTTTTGGTTTGAACTTGGAATAGAGAAGTAGAAGCTGTGTCATGGCCCATGTTTGATGCGGGATTTGAACGGCCAAAAAAGATCGACGTATTTGACTTTAAATTTATCGAGATCAAGGTTAATTTTTACTTTTATTGGATCGAAGGATAATGCTGCACTGTCGAGTTGGTATTTCAATCTAACGAAAAAATGTATAATCATTTCAAACTATTTGAGTCATGGAGACAATTTGAACTGGTCAGGTTACATGGAAGATTGTTGTCCGGTGCCCAACTCTAAGGGATTGAAGTTGGACCTT